AATGGAGATAGTCGAATTTCTTAGCTCACAGTTATTTATGAACCACCCTGTATATATTTCCTTATTAAGAATGTAATTTCTGTGAATCATTTATATTAGTCATAATTACTCTATTCGAAGCTGTAGTTCAAGTTCATGAAATACAAAAACAAAACTTTCAAAATTAGTTTAAGATTCACATTTTTATTTTTTCTCTACTAATTCGAACTAATTTTGAGATCTGTGTTAATAGCATTAGAAAAAATCTAAGAATAGATTTAGACAAAAACTAATCACAACTGGCATAAAGAATCACTGGAAGTTCGGTAATTTTCAATACTGGCTATTGGTTTTTCTTAGCAGAGAACGATCAATTCTTTGAATTGTTAATTAGTGTTTAGAATATTTCCAGTATTGAGAATTATCAAACCCCGATCAATTTTTCATGCCAGTTGTCACCGGTCTTGATTCGAATTTATTCTTAGGTTTTGTCTAATACAAAACACAAGTCTCAAAAATAGTTAGAATCGATCAAAAAAAAACCCAAAAAAATGCCAAGTTTCGACCAATTCGTAAATCTTTGTTTTATATTTCATAAAGTTCGACTGTAACTTGGAATAGAGAGCAATCATGGTTGATATAAACAATCCATAGGACGTTAACAAGGAGAAAAAAAAAATGTTATCTTACACATCATGTGCTTAGAAATTTTTGTTTTCCTATTGCAAATGATTGAACAATATATTATTATTATAGAAAAAAAAGTCAATAGGAACTTATTATTTGTTCTTATTTGACATTTATATCTTTTATATGATTATCTTTCTGAAATGATCTTTCAAGTAATGAAGTAAAATCTATCGTCTTTAATAAAGTTTGACATTATTATTTGTATGGTATCGTGTTCTACTTTTTTTCTTCCTTTAAAAAATGATTAGTTTTTTTTTTAATTATCATCTATAAATATAATTATTTTCATGAGTTATTCAGTCTTTAACGGATTAACCTTCGATTTCATTCAAAAATTTTCTCTTAAACAAAGTGAAAGTTAATCGTATTCTATCATCATATTATATTTCAATAATTTGAAATCAAATATAAAATTCTCTTAATATATGTGGATATATATTTCTATTAAAAATAATTATTTCGATATGTTTAAAAGAATCTTGTTAAAACTTAAATTCAATTATTTATACCTTTTAAGCCAAAGAAGTGCATCAGTAGCTGAATTTTTTTCTTTTGTTGTTTTAGCAATTATTTCATCATTAACAATTGAATATAATGTTTGAAATTTATTTGGATCATTACTAATTTTTCTTCTTAATTTCTATAAAATCAAAATATAATTCATTTATTAAATGAATAATAAATAACATCAAACAATAAAAAATTCAAATATTTACACATCAGTTCGTTGAAATATGTTGTTTTCTTTTTTTATTTGAATAACATAAACAAATATAATTGTCAAGTTATATATTCGATCTCATTAAAGAAATTTTACTTGTCATCTAAGAGAATAAGAAGAAGAAGATTATCAAAATGAACTATATTGATGTATATAGAGTAAATTTTGATTCTTAAAATATGAAACATTGCTTTTTGCAAGAAAGTTTTTACCAAAAGAGCTGCAATCGAACATGAATTTTAACATTTAAACAGATCAGTTTTGAAAATTTGTTCGATGTGCATCAATATAACTCATTTTGATTTCTTATTATTATTCTCTTAGATAACAACTGAAAATCATCCGTTATATGTATTTTTCTTATTTGACAATAAGTGAAATTTCTTTATTGAGATCAAAAATATAATTTGACCAGGTTTCTCGTCAAATGTCTGACTTTTTGCCAGTTTTTTATAGTTTCGCGAAAACTTTGATCAGAAATTGGATTTCGAATAATGACTTCATTTTCTCTGTCAGAAAATGAAATAAAATTCAATAGACAATGTCGTTGTAAGATGAATAGAGCTACGGGAGTGATGAGTCACCAATAGATCATCTGTTGTGAAAGGAGTTGAGTCAGAGTGCGTTTCGTTTTTCTTTGTCTTCAGTCATTACTTTTAATATTTCGAACATGAAAGCACTTTATACGAGAAATTTCGAACTTTCTATCGAATTTTTAGCTTTTTCCATGCTTAAAAAAATTCTGACACCCGAGAACTTGACAGTAATATTTGATTTCGTTATTTATATGAAAAAAAAAACAATTTTAAATAAGTTTGTCGGACTAAGGAAAAATTGAGTCCATTCGAGCGAACTGAAGCGAACGTTATTTGAATATTTTATCGTAGTGCTATTTATGGTTCACTCAGTATACATAAAAAAAAATCTAAAAAACTTACACTAATATTGCCATTGGCATCTGCACGTAATGGAATAAACGTTTTACTATTGAATTTATCTATTTATAATATAAAGAATAATTTGTCTATTGAATATAAAATATTTACCGATTATAGAAAGATATTGTTCACATGTCGAAAGGAAAAGTTCTGAATGAATATCTTTAAATGCTAATGAAGTTAATTTAGCAAATCTATCATTAAAATAAATTTATTAGAAATAATTTAATTTAATTAAACATACGTAAAAGGAAGTTGAGAAAAAAATGTTTTATAAAAAAATTGTTTTGGTAAAATTATTGTTGTTGAATTTGTTGATCTAATAAATAAATAAAATTAATTTTATATAAAATAAATACATAAAATAACAAACTTAGTTGAACCAATTTGAGAAAATGATTGTTGATATATTGATAAATCATCAGACATTATTGATGAAGGTGGAGAAAGTAAAAGTAATGATTGAGATGAATCACCAGTTGCTAATTTAACACATTCATCAAGCGTATGAATGAATGCATCACANAAAAAAATTGTTTTGGTAAAATTATTGTTGTTGAATTTGTTGATCTAATAAATAAATAAAATTAATTTTATATAAAATAAATACATAAAATAACAAACTTAGTTGAACCAATTTGAGAAAATGATTGTTGATATATTGATAAATCATCAGGCATTATTGATGAAGGTGGAGAAAGTAAAAGTAATGATTGAGATGAATCACCAGTTGCTAATTTAACACATTCATCAAGCGTATGAATGAATGCATCACATGTTACACTTAACATTGATGTTGATTCGTCTAATTTCTTTATTAAAATAATAAATAAAATTTGATGTAAATAATAATAAAAAACTTTAAAATGAATATTTACTTTAATATCAGGTATTGGTGTATCATTTGCAATTGATTTAATAGCATGAATACGTTGTGTAAGAACAGTTTCATATAGACGTAATTCTTGGACTTTTATTTTAAGTTCATTATCAATTGCATTTATATTTGAAACTAAAAATATAAACATAACAATATGATAATAATTAAATATTTTATTAATTTATACTCAATGCTGGAGGTATATTATTATTATTATTATTATTATTTGTAATAGTTGTTGTTGATGTTGTTGATTTAGTTCCTATTGATTTACATGTTCCCAAAGAAACAAGCCAACGTTGTCGTTCTGGTTGTGATTTAGCTTTTAAACAAAAAAATTGTTCACCCGGAATAATTAAATCAAAACGTAATGGATCATTTGGATGAACTATATTTAAAAGATTTATTTATTATTTAAATAATTTAATTATTTATTTAACCTTTAAGTTCACAAGCAGGTACTAAACATGAACCTTTACATCCTTCATGAATTAATTCACTTGATTTGTAATATGAAAGAATACCTGTTTCATTTAATACAAAATAACGAGGTTGCCATCCTATATTAAATTTTAAAAAAAACATATTTTTTGTTTGTTTTTTTTAAATATCATACCATTATAATAATTCGTCCATTTGAATAATGTACCCTCCATCTAAAATCATTTACCTATAATAGAATTTCAAATGAATAAAGTTCATAGTTAACATAAAACTTATGCTAATAATATTATCTTATTACGACATTAGTTAAATAATGAAGGTAAACATTTAATTGAAACTTTTAAGATGAGATAGCTTGTTTTTTGTGTTATGGAATTTCAATTGACAAAACGTATTTATTCAACGAGGAATACATGTGCTTACATCTAGACCTTATATGTTTCTACAGATATTTGGTAAATATGATCAACAATTTCTAAATAAATCTCATTACAATAGAGGAAGGTATACGTTAGTCTTAACAGAACACGAATAACTATCAACAATGATGATTGTTTCATCGCTTGATAGTAAAGTAATAAAATATACTTAACACAATAATTTGAGAATATTGTGCTTTTTTTTTTGTCTGTAATGAAGGAAAATCTAAAATAGAATGAATAGACTTTTTTTGATTGGTTTAAAGTTTTTTTTTAAAGATTTCTCTAAAAAAGAACAAAAGAGACGTTTTTCACATAGATTTGTATAATGACAGTTCGGCTTAGTATCACATAGCGCGCGTTAGAATGAGTCATCAGGGCACACAGACGAGACGAAACGAGACGATGAAGATGGATGAATGAGTCATAAAGCAATTTGATTAGCAAATGAAAAGTTTTTTACAACTCTTTATATTTTCTATTGATATGTTTCGAACAATATAATCTTTTAAAAGAATTTTACTTCAAGATTGAAGATCACATTTTATCGAGCATAAGGATTCAATCAAGGTCAAATAGAGATTCAGACGATAGCGTCCTCTATCGTTCTTCTTGTTATATGAATTGTTGGTTGATATCAAGAAGACAAGAAAAAAATCCTATGTAAGAAAAATGGAAAACTCAAAAACCATGTCTTGAAGATATGGTCAATAATCTTAATAAAATCCTTTTTCTTCGGCTATTTCTTTTTATATAGTTTGCATTAACAAGTAAAAAGATAATTACGAGAAATATTTGCTGCTACTATTCTATTCTACTTTTATACAAACATAAACAATTCTCTTTACACTATGAACAATTTAGTCTGTTGAATGTAACGCATTGATAGGTTTTTTTTTCAAGCACCGATGTCGTTTCATTCTGATACGCATTTTATGAAAGGAAATAATGAGAATAACTTTAATTGCACCAATTTTTGCAATAATCGGTCAATCAATTATCAAAGACCAAATTAAAAAGTCTCTTCTCTCGTTCCTTGAAAGATTTCATTATATAAAGAAGTAAGTTATTTCGATCCACTCGACCTTGAGAGTAGTGCGATATGTATTGACTTTTTCCTTCATTTGATTTATATCGGACAGAAAGAAAAAAAACCTAAGTATAAATGTCATTACAATATATTTCAGTTTTTGAACATTGAGCTAAGTAAATCAACTAGACTTGGATTTGCTAAGAAAAATAATGCTATTAACATACAATATTGTAATTTTACACCTCTGTGCCAGTTTAAACTAAATTGTATTCGAAAAATGTGCTATTTGACAAAAAGAAACATACATCTTACAATTGTTTTAAGGAAAAACAAAGACGAAAAAGAAATCGAAGTTATAACCTTCCAAAAAAAAAACAACAAATAAGAATCTGCAAAAGACTAGTCTTTCTTCCTAGTTCTGCTTTGTAATATAAATAAAAATGATTCTTGAATATGCATACAAAGTTAGTAAGAGATGTTTCGTTAACGAATGTCTTCCAAAAAGATTCTCGAGGTCCACTACGAAAACATATTCAACTGCTGAAATCACTTGGTCTATTACTAAATCAAAGGCCGCCCACGAGGAAGGCCGTCATACAAAATACCTCGCAAAATATCTAGAAAAACACATACAATCATCAGTAACATAAAACTTGATTAAATAGTGATCATTCACGTAATTTACCTTTAAAGCGACGATGGCCAAACATGTTAGAATTGCTTTTCTCATCAAATTGAGAATAGCATTAATTGCACGACAACATGTATATACTTTATCAAAAATGTTTGCATTTTTACGATGATATACGTGTTGACTTCTTTTCATTGCAACGTTCAATAGGCATGGGGAAAAAGTATATTGTTTGCATGCTGATGTATCCGCTTCTTATACTCTTTTCCTTTTTTTTTCTATTCACTTCTCCTGAGAATACATGCACTATCACATCCACTTACGTTATTGAATAATTATTACTTGAAATGTGAGTATGTATGACTAGTCATGTGACGAAAACCATAGAGAAATCGTCGACACACACTGATGATTTCAAAAATATCCGGTTAACTGCAATGTATCGTGGATTTTCATCGAATTGGTAGGTTTTTCATAATGGCAAGCATTGCATGATATCTCGGATTTATATTTAGTGGAATCAAGATTGACGTTTTGCGAATATTACTTTTTTCAATGATGTATGCCGAAAAAAATTAATAAAAGGAAAGCGTACAACCTAATCATACTTGATCATTTTTTGAAAAGTTTTGAGGTTGATTAAAAAATGTTTTGTTCTGTACTGAAACTAAATGATAATATTCATTAATAATAAATCCATATTGAACAGTATTATTGGATGAACATTTTCCTTCATGAATAGTTTGGTTTTAAATAGACTATATTGATAAGTGAATAGTCAATGAAATATGTCTGCATATAGTAGAAAGTAGTTGGTACTTGTTTCGATAGGTTATATCTCTCCGTTAGTTTTTCTTGTGTCTAACTATTATTTGATTATGAGTGGATGTGATCATATGAAATTATATAGCCGGACATTGGATATTTTCAGTATCAGCAAAAAGATCGTTATCTTCATAATAGAGAGTCAATTCTACGTCAAGATAAAAAGCTAATATTTCAAGATATTGATGATTAAATATTGTTTTTCATAGAAAATAAGTTTGATATTAGGAAACAACATGCAAAAATACGTCGGAATTTCTATATATTTCATTTCAAGAGAGTTTTAATAACAATCTATCTCTGAGACGGATAATACGTGCTAAAATTTTACAAATAAAAATTTTAGAATCTATTTCCACGGTAATCTTTGGCAAGATATCCATAAACATGTGATATTAATATTCTAGGAATATTCAATCAAAATATCAAACTCAATTTGATTGGTAAAATTCACTTTCACTCTGATTTATTCATCGGTTTGTTTCTTTATTTCTTTATATTTATTAAATAATAAGCAGCGTTAACCGTATAATGAGAAATGTCACATATGCTCAAGACCTAACTGCAATGCTTCTTCATAAACTTGAATACTTCGTGTGAGTTTGTTACATTGATTGGTTCGTTCGTATGGTTCTCGCATGAATTCAACAATTTTCAATGACATCATTGAAACGCTTAATGTATTGTCCATTTTAAAAGCATTTTGAGTAATAATATGATAATAACATATTTGTGAAATCGTATCTGTCACACGTCTTTTCACTACCTAAAAGAGACAAAAAACTTCAACAATTTTCCAACTGGATATATATCGATGTAAAAAAAGTAGAAAAATTCTTTTCAAATTTGAAATTCAATCTTCTGTTTAAAAAAGCAGTGCATTTCACAAAAAAAAAAATTTTGTAGAACGCAATGTCTAAAACAGAAATAATAGATTAATCAAGCAACCATAGTTTAAAAAGGATAAATAGTTCATTAATCAATCCAGAAGGCTTGTCAAGAATCAAGTAGAATATCTATCTTCGAATAAGCATCAAGTGCAATTTGAATTTCTCTTGCCGCCTGAGCTTCATTAGACATAGTTGTATATCCAATTGTGCTATTGAAATTTTTAGTAGTTGCATTTGATGCTGGTTTTATAATAACAGAAGCTGAGTTTTTTTTTTACCAAAGACGGTATTGAACTCAATTCTACCTGATCATTATTTTTATTCTTATCTTTTTCTTTTAATTTATTCACTGTGTCCATATAGTAATGATTAATAGTAAAAACTCGTCGTTCCATATCGATTATTTCTTGGACACGTTTCCATAAAACTTCTTTAACTTCATCTAGCCGTTTAATAATAACTTGTTTCAGACGATCTTTTAAACGAGAATAGGTGTTATAAAAAGCATATTCAAATAATCGTAACAAACAACTGTGCATGTATTCATATATTTACTTGATTTATTCGACGCCGCAATTGGGTAATTTCTTAAGGTCTTTTCTAAAGAGCCCTACGATAATTTGATAGGTCGGAAAGTTTGGTTGAGAAACACCAGCCGTTCGGTCAATTTTACGAAGTACAATCTTATAGTATTCAGGTGAAAAGAAATTCGTGAAACATCTTTTACATTCAGTTTGAAATCTATGCTGAAATTGATAAATATGATACGCAATGCGGTCTTCATTGCATTTCTCTGTTTCGAATTCATTTTTCCAAATCTAGCCATGGGTTCATCCGTATAGATATCATTATCGGATTGTTTTTCTGAATCGTTAGTAGTAGTAGATAACTGAGTGATATTCGTCCATGCAACCTGACTGTACTCACCTTCCACATTGTCGTAGATACTTTCTATGCAGGTATTTATCATCGATTGAAACTTTGCCCAACATTCATGTTCTGTATTCATTGGAGGCGGAATCTTTTTCAGTTCAGCTTTCGACTCTGCAATTTGTTTTCATAGTTCTTTTATAATATGTGGAAATGTAGAACAAATACGCTCTTGTTGAATGGTAGCAAGACGTCGGACCAATTGTTCGCCTCCTTTAAACTCATGGGATAGACGTTCAAACGCTTCTTTATGATTTAAGAAAAATTGATTTTCACACGGTTTCATTTCATCGAAAGAAATGTTTTGATCGATTTCTTCTTGATTCCGATTTAGGACAGCAACGCGACCCAATTTAAGTTGTATTGAACCTAGTTCATGATCCTGTAATTTTTCTGAAATGCCCTTATCATATTTGCCAATTTTTGAGGCAGCAATCAGTTATTGGTGACATGATGGATCGAATGCTTTTGCGAGCTTCATTGACTCCGACGTGGTAAAATCAACTGAATCCGGAATGACATGTAAAACAATCTAAATATGATAAAAAAAAAAAAAAAACTTCGTATAAAAGAAAGGATACAATGATATATCGCAGATCTCTAGAACTTTCTCAGTAGAAAAAAGAATTTAAAGCTCAATGATCTTTTTGTAATTCGAAAGTTTTAAATGGTTCTTTTCTGGAGCATTAAGCTTCTAAGAGGGTGTAACAGATGAATCGTATTTTTTAGTTCGCTTTTTTGTCCTTAGATTAATTACGTAAGAAAGTTGATCCTATAGCCAATTCATATTGACAAGAGATTCTTTCTAAATCTGAATTGAGTTCTAATGCCTAATACCCAACAATTAGTTGTATTCATCTTAAAGAAGCCGATCGAAAAATTTGCCCAAATAAGAGTGACTTCAAAGTAAAAGTCTAGAAACGTTTCGAGTCCTTTATTGATTCATCATCTGCAATAAGCACATACATTTTTCTTCATTTCTTCCTGACCATCTCACCATTCGTACGACATTTTTCTTCCATAATTGCTCATTTCAAACTAATAAATTGAGAGTAGAAGAGAAAAGATGTATTTTTGCAATGACGAATTTGCTTTTTCTTCTAGAGTAATATTTTATTCTTATTTTCTTTAACGCTATTCTTTGAAAGAAAAACTAGGATAATACTCTAATCAATTTTTCAATGTCAAATACGTCAATCATTACTTAATCGGATTTAAGAAAGTAATCAAGGACTTGAAACAAACACAATCGACTAATATAGTATATTACCGTGCTTTTTATTATTATTATCTTCCTTTAACTATTATTCTAAATTTTATTGGACAAAAAACTGCATACAACCATTGATAAAAGAAGTTATTGAAAACTGGGTACATTATTTGATCTTAGTTTTCTAATATTTCAAGATTTTTGAAATTTTATCCAAAGATGCAAAATTGAAATTCGTCTCTTGCACTTTGTTTACTCTAACCTAAATGTTTTGCACAAGCAATATCTAAATTTTGTGTTTTTTTCAATCTATACTAAACCATATTGAAAAATATCCAATGATTGATTTACTTACTGCAGTTAACGGTTTAATATATTTTTTGATTAATTTCAAAATTTGTTCATGAATATATTCTGCTTGACCCGGCAATGGATTCCGTGTAATATCCGAAAGATCAATAAGTAAAATCGTACATAATATCTCGTTAATATACTGTAAAAAGTAAATAGGATTTAGACTAACATTAATGCCTTCACCAGCAATTTCTGATGCCAATCGGGTGACTTCATTGGCAATATTTGCAAAATCATCAATAAGTATTTCTTTAGCGAAACCAACACTACTGACGTATCTTTGCATATTCTAGATCTTCATCTGTTTTCATTCGCAATTCTAATGGACATCAGGTACATATATTTTGTGCACGAGGCAATTGAATACCAGATATTGCCTCCAATACGGACGATTTGTCTACAGATTGATCACCAACGACCACAATTTCCGGTAGGGTAACTCTTTCTCCATGCAAGATTTCACTCATCTTATCAATTACTGATAGAAGATCATGTGATTCTTCACTGTTCACCTAGAATGACACTCGTAATGAAATGATGTGATTAGTTACTATCTGTTTAGTTCTTACTGACTTCGTTTCATTCCCACTTTTATATTGATGCCAATAGGAAAAAAATCCAAAGTTGATTCACATTATTATATTTTGAATAAGCAATCAATTGCTAAGTAAACAACATTAAATTAAAAACATACATCAGCATTACTTCATCTAATTATTTCTCAAATAAATATCAAATACAATCTAGTTTTTCATTTCTCTGTGTAACAATAACATTGTTAAGGTTTGATAACGTTTCATTTGATCTAGGTTGACATAAATACGCTATATTCTATTATTGACTTTTAGTGACGCATGTATTTTGTATAACATGAATCATCTATACAAACCAAAATCCCTTGTCTAGTGTGAATACTTTTCCTTTTATTTTTTTTTCTCAGTGAAAAATGATCGGTTTGCGCAAAGAACATATGAGTAGCTAATTTCATTTCTATCAAAATATTTCAATCAGTAAATAAAGAATGAAGCACTTCGTTGCCTGTCACCAGTGGGTTTATTTTTGCAACTGCAAAAAAACATGACAAAATCAATACTTAGGTGAAGTGTAGATGATCGTGTTGTGACAATATCGATACCAATATGAACGAATATAAAATAAATATTATTATAGAGAGTAGAAAACACACGTTTTCACCAATATCCAATTGCAATCAAAACATGTAAGAGCAGAATCGCTTGAAAGATTATCGGGCAAGTGTATATGAATAAGGAGTGTGAATGTGAATAGATAGATATGGATGTTCTCTTCACCTTCACCTAATCCATACAACACATCGACATTCATTCTTGTTTCTTAATTATTTTCTTCATATTATCCGTCTTGGTACTTTTTGCAAGATGTTCATCTTAAAACAAAAAATCGACTATCCCTCAAATTTCTTATCATGTTTTAATACAATTGCAATCAAATCAGTTTAGTAAAAATGAAGTCATTTTACATTGCAAGAATGAATTGAGTCCTTAGTAAAATTTGTATTAATTATATTGAGAATCGCTCTTACTTGATGTTTATCTACTCAACTACGTGTAATATGGTAAATGTCTTAGGCTATTAACATAGTATTTTCATAGTTCATGGCTTTACAAAAATTGTTTTTGAACAGTTTGAAGCCGATTTCCAAAGATTTCAATAATTTTCTTTGCTAAAAATGATTGATTTTTTCATATTTGACATGAACGCATTGTTGAATACATTGCGAAAGCCGATTTTGTCTGGATGAACATTGTTGCTTTTGTTCGATGTAAATCATATCAAGAGAATATAATGAACATTATTATTCTTTGTACAATATTTTCTTTTCTTATTATGGTTGAGCCGATTAAAAAGTGCAATGGTAGCATGCTTACTTTCCACTCTCGTTATTTTCTTATGTTTCGGGTTGCTTCTGTTCATAATGTATCGAATGTGTCACTCACTTACACTATTAAATAATTGTATCTTCATTAATGACAACCGTCGCAATACACCTATTTCATTTTTAATACATTTTAATAACGTAAAAATATAATACTCCCTATTTTTATTACTAATTATCACATTGTGTCATAAGCAAACAGCACGTTTGCATGAGATGAAGATTAAACCGTTTTTCTAACAGTTTATATATAGATTAAGTAAAGCAAAAATTCTGATTATTTCGACGTTGTTCATTGAAGAAAAGCATAATACAAATCCTATCTTACGCTATCATTTGTAAAACGATATAATTTTTTTTTTCACTTCGTTGAAAACAAACAATTGATAGTGTATCAAATTGAAAAACTTGATCGAAAGCTGACCATTTTCTATCATATTAGTATTTATTAGTAATAGTTAATCTTTTCAATAGTAGCATCAATTTGTCATTTATTTCGATATGGCTTTCACATTTCAGTCAAAAAAGTATCAACAGTCGATCTTTATCTTCTTTTTCGGTGAAAGTATATAGATTTGCATAAAATCGAGAGTATTCTATGGTACAGAATGCGAAAGTTCTATTATCTTTATAAAGAAAATTATTTTAAATCAATAAATAACATCTAACCGTAGCATTAAAGATTATTTGAAATAATACTAAAAGAACTACTAAGATTTGTGAGAATTCTATTCTTGTGAATACTACTAGCAACAGAAAAAAAAAGGTATTTGATTTTTTGAGTTTAACATATGAACGAAAAATTAATTAATTAATATTCATCGCAATTCGTATGCTTCCACCAATTTAAGATCGACAGATCGTTCGGTTCACTATCAATTACTCGGATCATGAGACCATAACACACAATATAATCACGAATATGTTCTTCTGTAGCAGTATTAGCTTGTATAATCCATTCGAGTTCTTCATTACGAAAATCTTTATCAATGCGCGTAGTCTTGTGAATGTCTTGAAGCAATGTTTCAGGCTTAGGATCACCTACTGCAGCTGGATTCACACGACATTGAAACACGAGTTGATAATATCGACACTTTTCACCATCATTTGGAACAGTTCTCCATAGACGAGTATATCGTGGATGAGCTGCATATTCAATACTCGGTGATAAACAAATGGCTTGATGATTTCCAGGTATAAAATATTGTTGATTTGATACGCGTAAGCCTGATGTTAAAATGAATGGTGCATAGGGACCTTGTGTGCCATGATAAGCAACATGCCACGAACCCCATTTAGAATCAAAGGCAGCATCATTATTTGCTACTTTAATACCGATTCGTTTCCATCCTATTTTATAATAATATATGTGTTTGTAAAACAAAAAGAAAAGAAAATCAATACTACCTGGTGGACACATAGATTCTCTATTTTCTCGATCGAAGGAATCAAATCCATAAGTATTATTAGTTGATCGATTATCATTGATGCGCATTTTATTCCATATGAAATCCATCAAACTCTTTTCAATAGGTAAAGTAGATTTACCTAAAACAATTGAATGTATTCGACTATCAAATTTTGCACAACATTTCTGAATAGTTTGAATATTTAACATAGACAATTCATTATATCTTCCACGTCCACACATTTGCTTGATAACTATTGGACCATAAGGTGCATGAATCACAAGGTGAAGAATAACACCACTTTCTTCAACATGTCCAATTGTGAGAGAATCAGTTGGTAATTGCATAATTTTACAGAGAGCAAAACAAAACCGTTGTTGAATAAAATTTTTATTCGACGCCCATATGTTGTAGTCAGCCTCCAGACGTATTATCAACGGAAGATCTCCAACTGTGCAAAAGTTAAAGAAACTTTATTGATTTCTATTTACTCTCTTACCTGTTGTTTCTTCACAATAATCTATTAGAATAGGCACAAGTTGTTTGGATGTTTCCATCTGATGGAGTACTTTTTTGAGTTTTATACTCAATTGAAAGTCATTTAATGAATGCGCAGACAATTGACATAGTGCACTAACTAATTCAGTTGCTCGTGTTTGTTGTTCAATGTGTTGTTCTTCAAGTTCTACTTCCATTTTTTGTAACAATTGATCTCTTCGGTGACGTCTTTCCTCTTGACGATGTTGTATATAGTCTTGAATAAATATAGTTGTACTAGATACGTCCGTTTTCCGATAGAGAGAATCAATGAGACGATTACTGGTGATTGAATCTTCATCCATTTCATGAATAAACTTAACTATAAGTTTCTTTCGATGAGTCCAAAGAGGTGCACGCTCCAATACACAGTGCATAAGTGGACCTTTCTCAGAAAAAGCGAATAGATCACCAGAACTATTACCTTTACCAATTATTCGATTGAGCTCATTCACATATCCATAATGTTGTCGAAGCCATGATAAAACTCGAGAAGAACAATTAATAGAATTGTTTGAGTCTATCATATTAAATAAATGAGTTAATTCACTCTCGATACTTGTAATTTGCTGACGTATTTTATTACTAGCCATTCGTATTTCTTCATTAGTTTCTCGATTATTATTTCTCGTTGTTGTTGGTATTTGAACTATAACATCAATATCAACTTTGATATCATAAAGAGCTTTTCGAAATTCATTTTCAATCTTTTGACGTGTTATATTGATATTTAGATTGTTCCTATTAAAATCATTTAAGAATTTTTCTGCTAGTGTATTTTCTTCTTCACATACTGCTGCATCATCTTCTTGTGACATTTCTATAACTTTAGTACGCATTCTTTTAATATTACGTTGAAGTTGAGCAACTTCCTTGATACTTTCACCCAATTGTTCATCAGCAAAACGCTTCAAACAATAATCTAAATCGACGTCCATTGAATATACAAATAGTAATTGTTCTAAAATAATAAAAAAAGCTTTAAAAAAATACCCAGTATACCAGATGATGATTTATTTCTTATATACTTAATATGATAAGCGAAATACACTCACTGTTACCTAGTGAGTGAATATCTCGTTACACGACGATCGTTTCTCTGATTCATATTTGCACACTGATATCTACGTGAAATGTTAGCAATCTAAAGAAGTTCACATGGCTATGTTGATATGTATTATCTATTGTCTAAAGAATTTGAAAAATGTTGTAAAATGTATAACTAACCTGACTTCATCAAAACAATGCGTTACATTCGCTTATCATCTTTGTTGTTGACTCGCGTCTTGATAAGACTTTTTAATGATCATTCAAGTTATATATATTGTATGTTAATATTTGCAAAAGAAATCAACACTTAAACTTATCAGAACTTCTATGATTTAATGACAACAAAATGATGTTTATGTCAAGCAAGAACATCATTTTACAGTTGCAGTATTTGAATGTTTCTAACGTGATAGAAATATTATCGTTCTTATCATAAAATTGCAAATAGCTAATGCCTTAAGTTTGCAAGTATAATACTTTTAAAGAAATCTCCCATGTTATTTTGTTTATTGGACGTAATAAAATATAACACGATATACCCATGAGATAACTACCGAGAAACTAATACCGGTTACCGATCGATATAATGTGTGTTGTATCGGCAATTTTTTTAAAGTGTTGGTTTATAGTGTGTGGCAGAGCTCCGCGGGACGTTGGACTAGTCCCGTCCCATCCCGTTCCACCCCTGGGCGGGATGGAACGATAAAATTGAAAATTTAGCGGGGCGGGGTGGGACGAGATATGATTGCTTACAGTACAGGACAGGACAGGACGGAACAAGATCGATTCATTTCTACGCCCCGTCTGGTATGTATGACGTAGGTTTGTCGCGCGTTATTTTCCGCACATCGCAGTTGGGCAATATCTATAAATTGAGCACACAAGAACAGCTATTAAAAGTGGTCTGATTGGTTGTCTTCGTACTATTGTATGTTCAAATGATATAGGCTACTTATTTCTTTTTGATTTCATTTTTTTTCAGTTTTTTATTTATTTAAAAATATTTTCTAAGTTCAACCAGAAAAATTTACCACCATTGTCGAAATTGACTTGAATGATCCATTGCATTCCACGAATTACGGCAACAGTCGAAAGTGAATTTAGTGGAGGTGTGCTCGGCATGTCTGAGCGTCGGTCGTCAATCAATCCTCAAAATCTCAATAATATACTTTTTCTGAGATCAGTTACTCGATGAGCAGCATTCGAAGTTATACTTCTTATTAATTTTTTTATTTTTTTGTGATAAAAGTGTTGCCGTGTAAATCTTCTTTTGAAACATGATTAGTTGAATAAATGATTCACACTGAAGATGGAAGTATAAATTTCTTGTACTTTTTTGAATATCAGTTCGAGAAACAGCAATTATGTCGACGTGGTAGAGTGAGACGGGACAGGACAGGACGGGATAAGAAAGCGCTGGACATGGGACGGAGTGGGACGACTTTTGTGTCGTCCCGTGGAGTTCTGGAAGGAGCCAATGCGTATAGACATAATTTTAAAAATACTTGTTACATGGCTAAATGTGTTTACGACAATAAAAGCGTCTGAACGCGTTTGAAAAATCTTGGTAAACCCATCCAGATGCTGTTTTATATAAAATCGTGTTCAGACGTGTTTAATATAAAATTGTATCCTGATGCATTTTAAAATATTTTCTGACCGCGTCTTAACTCAGTTAATATTCAAAGTGCGTTTGAACGTATTTATTTTTCGTTTAGTGTTTACATGGGAGATGCTAATATATAAAGTAAATATCAACATTATTTAATCGATTATAATATATTCTGATATTTTATTATATATGAAGATTCACATGACTTTAGAACAATTCAAAACTATTTTAAATAGCTACGAAGTTATTCAGCTTTTAATTCGACATCAAATTGTTAATTAAATTTAAAAAAAATAATCAATGGCCTAATTTAATGTCTTATGACTCTTCTTAGTTTCGATTATTTTAAATGAATACAACAAATCATCAATATTAACATTAAAAAGTCAAATAATCATTATTCTTATTATGTTACAAATTTTTTTCTTCGATTAGTGTTTTCAAAATGCAAAACTATCATTATAATTTGTTTTTCATGGAATATTAATTTCGATAAAACTTAATTCTTTACCATCTGTTGGGCCATTTTTGACCAACTTGTAGAATGATCACAGAAAATAAAGAAAACATCAGACTCAAAAACTCCTCAAACTGTATTTGTAAAAACTCCCCAAACTATCAATTGATTATAAAAACTATTCTGTTTCATTGCTCTGTCTCTGAGATATATGATTTACAAAATCGATAATTTTGGAAAAATTAAAAAAAAAGAAATTTTAAAAACAGTGCTTTGTTCTTCATAGGCAATAGAGATTTAGGGAGCGTGTTGTATGATCTATATGGACAATCAAAAAGGTCTACTATTGTAAAAAACAACGACTCAAAATTAGATTATAATAGATTATTTTCGAATTAATAATCTATTATAATGGTACTATGCTAATTTGATTTTAATCAGGTTAAAATAGTGCCATTATAATAGATTTTAATCGCATTGAATAATTGAACTGATTCAAGGTAGAGATCAAAGAGGCAGATGAATAAGATGGAATTACTAAAATAGGACAATGAAGTCAATCGAACAGAGTAGCAATGATAGAGAAGGAAAGATATTCCTTTAGTTGGTGTTCCATCGTGTATACAGAAGAACTTTATAACTGAAATTTTCTCAATGAAACAGCGATTTTCCCGTTCAATCCTGTGTCGTCACCCACAGGCAATACTGTACTATCCAACAAAACCGAAAAATCAATTTTCTTCCATTAAAAAATTTAGTTGCAAAGTATTTCTGCATATATGGTGAAACACTAGCTAAAGGAATATCCACAAACGAAAGAATATTATATCCTACACAATACTTTTGTTTTCTCTTCTAGATGTACATTGTTCATTTTCTAGATTTATTTTAAATGGATATGGCATTTCTTCCTTTATCAGAAGCTGATAAAGCTTTTTCACGTAATGAAGATTACAATAGAGCTCACACAGTATGCATTTTCTTTCCTCATAACTATAAAATACACAGGATGTTTCATAAGTCTTGATGCGTGGCAAAATTAGTTGATATACAGACAGAGAATAATCCCTAGCCAAATATTTTTATATGAGCATTAACTAGTGGTGACAGTCTTTCAGACGGCATATTATTATATGATATCTCTGATAATTATAAAAATACAAACACAAGAATATGAAAATAGATTTTGCGCAATCAATCAACATAATATTTTATTTAAAAAAAAGGTAACGTTCTATTTTATGAAAACCTATATTAATCTGGTTGGATAATAATATTATTCAACTACCAAGTATTTGTTATCTATGAATTTTTATTAATTAGTCCAGTATCTTTAAAATTTTATTAATCATTTTTTACAATTATTAAGAGTTATTTCTTTCATTCTTTGTAACATTTAGTTTTTCAATTGTTTAAAGGTTGAATATTGTTCTCTTCGTATTTTTTTTTCTTTAATATTTTGCTTAGATTTTCAGTAAGTCATACGTCAGCAAATTTATCTATATCAGGTTGAAGTAAAATTCAATTATTAAATAATTTATCAACAGTTAAAATAATTAATTTTGCTTCTTTATTTTTCCTTTTACATGTCACATTTTCATATATTTTATCCATTTCAATCGGATTACTGAGCTTATAGCTTGACTAAATTTTTAATTAGTCGTTCGTGATAAGTATTGAATGAATGAATGAATAAAATAAATAATTATTAGTTTCTATTATGCTAATTTTTATATAGAAGAATATTTTCATCATTTTATTAAAAAATCTTTAAAACAAAATTATGTTTATATTGTTTACTATTGCAACAAAATATATTATCTAATAATATTTCATTTGAAAGATTGTCACGCATACTCAAAGTTGATATAAAAAAAGTTCAATTAAGTATTATTGTTTATCTGTATATAAACTAATTTTGTCGCTCCTCAATGCTTATGAAACACTGTATTTATGTTAATGTTTGTTTAGCTTTATGGAAATATACTTATCATCTATGAAGATTATATTAATTCACATCTAAAGTCGGATATTCTAGCAACAATGGCAAAATGCAGTAATAAGTTACACTATTATGATCGTAAGTTTGTTATACGAAATCTAATACAGAAGAAAAACAGGAGCCAGTCACCCCTTTATTTTTTATGCTCATTCTTCTAAACGTAAAGAAGTGTATGTACATGAGAAGAGAAGTTTGGCTAGTGTAAGAATATACTATTTGTTATTGTGAATTTTGTTCATCAAGCTGAGACAGCAACAATACAAGATTTGATGAAAATTTTTTTATGGCTTATTATTATAATGGGATGAAACTAGACGATTTACATATAGAAATTATGTTTCTGACATATTTAAATGACGTTTCTCTAGTCAAATCTAATAAAATTAGATTAGACAAAAAAAAAAATAACCGCACAAACATATTAAAAAATTAATACTCTAATAATATAAAATCTTAGTAGGCTCAATATTTATTCGAGGATTCCTTCTCATTCTACTCATTGTATTCCTAGAAAAAAAAAATTATGCATGATTCATTTTCCCCAACACAATAGTTTTTCGAAAGTTTCACAGTCTGAGAAAAACTTCCTCGAACAACCGCTCGAGCACATAGAGAAATTCTAGACTACTCTGCGCATCCCTTTTAACTAGAGACCTGCGGAGTCAACTTTTTTCATTCCGAAACCCGACTCCGACTCCGATTCCGAAATCTTTCTTTTTACGACTCCGATTCCAACTCCGATTCC